AGATAATTGAGTCATGTACTAAAATTATTTGTATAAAAATAATAAGCATATATCAAAGGGTTTAATTACAATTTGTTAGTAGCACGAAAGAGTCATCATTCTTGAATACTCTGGCTAGGAAGATGGTTTCTAAGTAATTACAATTGATTACGTAGTTCAGAGCTAAACTCCTATGTTTGCAGGGTAACTCACATCAGCCCAATCCACTAGATGTTCACAAAGATTACAAGGGGTTGAATACAATAGGCCTCAGCCACATTAACCAACTCAATCTTCAACAACATCCAAAATTGAGGTACGTGCATGCCATCTCCATCTTCACTCTATGCCGTTACCGTAATACATCACAAATGTCTTGTGCAGATTTCAATCAACCAAGTAATGATTAAAAGGTTGTTGTGTTCTCAAATATTAGCCTCAACACATGTCGCATGAACATAACCTTGTGCCTTTTTATACCAAAACAATATAACCATTCTTGCTAAACACAAACTGCCAAAAGATCCTTAATAAACGCTGTCCACATATTCAAAAATTCCAAGCTTAAAACTAGCTCAAGCCACGCCACATAATAGGTGAAAATTAACGCTTTGGACCGCTGCATGAGCCAGTATGACGGACCAACCAAAAGACAAAGAAATAATAAATAAACTCATTCTAGGTTTTTGTCAAATAATTTAGCCAACATACTATGTATATAAATGTGTATCATTTGTACACTTACCTTAATTAGTAATTTTTGGTACGATTTTCATCTTTCATTAATGAGTGAATTGACTGAATTTCGTTTCATTTTCCATTAATCAGTGAATTATGGATCTTTTTTAAATTTTTATTTTTTTTACGGCTAACCTTTTACTGATTATTATTAGTATTAATAAGTGAATTACATTTCTTTTTCCATTTTCATTGAATTATGGATCAGTTTTTATTTTCATTTTATACTGCTAAGTTTTTTACTGATTATTATTAGTATTAATCATACTATTTTTTTTTTAATAATAGTATAGATTGGAGTAGTGACCGAATAATATTGTTGAGCCCGCACGGGCTTAGTTCAATGGTTTAGTGGGCAGTATTTGGGAGAAGAATAATTGTTGAATAAGAATATGAATTTTAATATTGTTGTATAGTATTACAAATAGGAATTTTAATGTAGAATTGTAGTAAGAATAGAAAAGTAGGAAACAATATATTCTATTAGAAATTGTATTACACTATTTTACAATATTACGCAAACCTTAATAGTATAGGATTGTTTTGGGCGAGAAGTTAAAATGGAGGATTTTATTTTATTAATAGTATAGATTTTTATTATTATTATTATTATTATTATTATTATTATTTGGACTTTTTTTTTTTATAATAGTATAGATTGGAGTAGTGACTGAATAATATTGTTGAATAGAAATAAGAATTTTAATATTGTTGTATTGTATTACGAATCAAAATTTTTATGTATAATTATACTACGAATAGGAAAGTAAGAAACACTATATTATATTAGGAATTGTATTACATTATTTTACAATATTACGCAAACATTAATAGTATATGACTGTTTTGGGCGGAAAGTTAAAATGGAGGATTTTATTTTTATATATAGTATAGATATAGATAGATATTAAGGTTCCGTTTACTAACAGAAAACTGTTCTCTATTTTCTGTTTTCTAATTTTTCAGTTTTCATTCTCTGTTTTCTATTTAGAAAACTTGTTTACTAACACTTATTTTTTCATTTTTTTTAGATTAACGTTATAAAATTAACACAAGTTTAATTTCGAGTGATTTTTAAATCTTATATTTAAAATATTTTTACATATGTTCAGTTTAAATGAAATAAATTTAATTTTTTTTTTTACTTTTAAGTCTAATATATGTAAGATTTTTACATTTGATAACTGGACAAAATTTATAACTGCATATAACGTAATAACAAAAATATATATATCTAAACCAATAACCTACAAAGTTCACCTAAAATTTAGTTTAGATAATATTAATATTTTTTGAGCTAATATTTAAAATATTTTTTGAATATATTCATTTAAATGACATGTATATGAGTATATAACTTTTACTTTGAATTCTAATATATGTGAGATTTCAATATCCGATATATGGACCGAACTTGTATTATGATGTAACATAATTAAAAATATTCGAACTAATAATCAATTGAGTTCAATCAACATCTAAAACATTATATAGAGTTTAATTCTTAATTTTTATAATGTAAATAATGTCTAACTTTAAAGTGTAAGCAAATAAGTTATGTTTAAATAAGTAAAGTAAGTAAAAAAAGATAGAAGAGAGTATTAAGTAAAATAAGATGATAATGAATGTAATCATAGTAATGTGGTTATAGTGACATATAACTAAATAGATGATAGATTATTCTGTTTTCCATTTAGAAAACAGTTTTTAAGAGTGTTCCAATTTTCTAGAAAACAGGAAAATTATTTTCAGTCTTCAAAATGGAAAACTGTGCTAGTAAACATGTCTTCTGTTTTCTATTTTCCAGTTTCCAGAAATTTCCAATTAGTAAACGGTCCCTAAGTTTTTTGAACTATAAAGTAGTATTACTTTTATATTCCAAATTATATTGTATTTTAGTTTTAATAGTGTTTTTGTTTATAAATATAATTATATATTAACATTTGAATTTTGACAAAATAATAATAAGAGTAAAAGACAATTTTGGTCCTAGACTTATAGTGGCGCAGACAATTTTAGTCCTCCATAAAAAAATCAGACAATTTGTGGACACTTTTATTGTGACGAGGACAATTTTCATCCTCCGTCTATATTTCTGTTAGATGGCCGTTTGAGAGGAGGACAATTGCATCAATTTGCCCTATCTTCTTCTCCAACCTTCAATTCTCTGAGCACAATTGGAATCTCGACCTGCCAAATCAAAACCCTCACTCACCTTCTAAAACCCATACCTTCTCATATCGGCTGGCTTTGCTTGATTTATGGTATGCACAACCCCGAAGCTCTTGTGGCGCCTCATCTCTTTCTGTCATCCATCGCTGTCTAACTCCATCTTCATTCGTCGCTTCTCTCTCCGGCCATCTCAAATGGGCAAGCCCGACAAAAGCTCTGCCGCCAACAACTCCGCGCTGGAGCACCCCAAAGACGATGCTTATCTCCAAAGCGTGACTCCTAAGCGAATTTCTCTCTTCGAATCCATCAAATCTCAGCAGCAAATGCAGCGCCTTTCTCTCTCTCTCCTAATCCCATCAAGTAAAGTACCTGCTATTATCCACTGATGCTTTCACATAGAAAATGCATTATGATGCTTGTTTTTCCGTTTATGATTTCATTCAATTGACATTTTCTCATTTCCAAGGATCGAGTTACCGAATGGGTCAGTGAAGGAGGGGAAGAAATGGAATACAACGCCCCTTGACATTGCGAAGGAACTATCCAGGAACTATCCAAGAGCATCCTATGAAGTAATTTAGTTTTGGTGCGTCTTAAATTGCAGTCTGTGGAGATGAAGTATGGCTGCAAATTGTGCATTGGTCCATAGTACAACAAGAGACTTATAGAGAATTGAAGGTTGGAGAAGAAGATAGGGTGAATTGACGCAATTGCCCTCCCCTCAAACGGCCATGTAACAGAAATATAGACGGAGGACTAAAATTGTCCTCGTCACAATAAGAGTGTCCACAAATTGATTTTTTTATGAAGGACTAAAATTGTCTGTGCCACTACAAATCTAGGACCAAAATTGTCTTTTACTCTAGTAATAATTATCAAAATATAAAAAAATAAGTATTTAGCAATATCGCAACAAAATATGATTTTAGAAACAGAATATTCGACATCAATATGACGATGAAATTGGTGACGGGATTTTGTGAGGAAAGACGAAATTTGCAATGGAAAGTTTTGCGACGGAATTGCGACGACAATTATTTCCATTGTTATATTTCATGCGGAAATTGACAATGAAATATGAGTTTTGTGACGGAATATTTTCTCAAGCGATGGTGACGGAAGGAAACATTTCTGTCGCCTAAATCGCGACGTAATGATTTTTGTTGCCTATATTGCGATGGAAAATTCCATTGCCTTTTTCGTCGCCGCAGCTCATGACGGATTGTTTTCGTTGCGAAATAAAATGCAACAAGCCTGGAGCCTACGGAATTCTTTCGTCGCGAATCGTGATTTTCCTTGTAGTGAATGTTTACATGAAACAACTACCAATGTTTATCGACAACAAATTTCCTATTCATGTTAACTATAAAAGTCTCTAAATGGTTTGAAGCAAACACCACATGCATGGTTCAAACGTCTTCAAGATTGTCTACTTTCGATTGGTCTCAAGGCTTTGAAAACTAATGTATCATTGTTTATCTATTCTGCTACTAATACTCAAATTTATTTAGTTGTCTATATTTTGTTATTTTCCTTCCAATTATTGGCAGGAAATCCTAAATCATATGGAATGTTACGTTTTTATTATTTTTATATTACCATAATTTTATTTTTACCCGTTGGTAATAAATTATGTCATCAACAAATTAATGGACACACTAAATTTCAAACTGAAAATACACTTAAACATTAAAATTATTTAGAACAAAAATTATGGTCATGTCCATAGTACTTCCAACAACGGGCTATCACCATACTAAAAAAAAGTCATGAAATATATACTACTTAATCAATACTACTTAAGTATGCTCGCTGTACCCAAATAAGCGTTCAAATCCGGCATTGCTTCAATGACTTTGATCAATGCAACATCTACAACCTTCTACTTCAATGACTTTGATCAAGTATACATGATTGGTATACCTGCAAATGCAACTAATTTAAGATGATGGCTTTGATCAGTCTTCTACTTCAAAGCCTTTTATCCACAGCCTTCTATTTATTTAAGGTTACATATAAATCATTATCAGCAAGATTAAAAGGAGCTCTCTAAAACGCCTGGTGAATTAGTATGAAATGGTAAAATAAATAAATAAATAAAAATTCTAAAATCTGAAAACACCAATAACTTGAATTTTGGGGGTGCCATGCTGAAACACAACACACATACAATTTACAAAGTGGAAAATATAAAATAATAGCATTGTACATGCATGTCATATATCATAACTATTTCAGAAAAGCAAAACATACTAGCAAGAGAGAGACAAACAACTTACACCATCACTTGTGAGTTTCAGAATGCTCACTTAATTCTTTTGGAAAACCATTCATTTATTTTAGCAGATCATAACAACTGAAAAGTAGCATAGATTTGTAGTGTTGTTCTTGAATTCAAGCAGTGCTGCTGGGAGAAGCAGAAACGCTGGTGTCTATCATCCCACCCCTTGAAGTGTTCCTCGATTTTGAATGGTGAGTTGAGAGCTCAGTTGTGGAAATAATCTCACCATGTGGTTGATGATCTCGATCTCTGACAGAAGAAAGCTGATTTACACTTTCCATTAGATCCTTCATTGGAAGTTGTTCCTTTAGAACCTTGACAACTTGAGACATGGTTGGTCTTTGATCGGGGTACTGGTCCAAGCACATCAATGCTAGTTCTAACATTGTATCTGCTTGATTCCAATCCACTGTGTTAGATATGGTTTTGTCAACTAGATTCATAAAATGCCCTTCTCTCTGCTTTTCACGTGCCGCCTGCAATCATACACACAATCATATGATAACATTACGATGCAATGCATGCACCCAATAGTATAATTAATTAAGTTTGAGTCCTCACGAGATCTGGAAGGTACTCGGTGTCAGCCCCACTGCTAGACATTGAAATCTTTTCTTTCTTTCCACTAACAACTATAAGTACAACAACTCCAAAGCTATACACATCTGCCTTTGTTGTTAAGAGGTCATATTTTGCATATTCAGGTGCCATGTATACCCTGCATATCAATCAGAATGGTTTCAAGTGAGAACCGGCCTATTGGCTATTTGATTAGATTGTTTACAAGTTTGAGAAAGAAAAATATTTGATTGTTTGATTGTTTACTGATTTAGAAGTTTGAGAAAGATTGGGACATAAATGGTTGTCTAGAAAAATAATTACACTGTTCCTTCTTCCCGTGACTTTTCGTGGTCATGGAGCCTGGAAAATCCGAAGTCAGATATCTTAGCATTGTCATGTTTGTCAAGGAAAATTCTAGTTGGTTTGATATTTCCATGGACAATTTTCTGCTTGCACTCGTGAAGAAAAGCTAGACCTTCTGCTATGCCAAGGCAAATGTTGCGCCTTTTTGGCCAATCTAATCTCGACCTGTCTGGACCTGTGATGAGGAAACACTACACTATAATAGATTGAGTATGAATTGAAGCTAAGGCAGAGATCGGTGATGGATAGAGACACTACCAAAAAGTTCATTTTGAAGGGAATTATGGCCTATATCCTCATAAATAAGCAACAATTGGTTCTTCTCTGCAATGCATCCCATGAGCTTTACAAGGTTGGGATGTTCCATGAGAGAAATTGTAGAATCCTTTTCTCGAAATGCACGTATTATATCTTTTGTGGCCGAAACCTTTTCAACTGCAACCACTGTTCCATTGCCGAGTGTAGCCTGAATTCAAGTTAAGTAGCTAACATTACAATGACACTAATGTACAAACTGTAATGTTACAGAGAATTTCATTTTATTTGAAGCAAAACTAACCTCATAGAAAGTTCCAAAGCCACCCTTACCAAGCTTGTGCTTGAAATGTTTAGCAGCAACTTTTACTTTTTGGAAGTTGTAAAGTCCTCCAGGATACAACTCAACCATTCCTACACGAAAAATCAATGGACAGTATAATCAACACAGAGCAATGGAGACTAGAGATCAATGCCCCCAACCCCTCCTCACAACAACAATAACAGTACTAGTAGGCAAGCCAATTGTTTAAGAAGTTGAAGTTACCTTCATGTGAATTAATGTCTTCCATCTTCCATAAATAAACTATCAACACTACTAGAAGAATTAAGACAAATAATGAGATTGCAGCCATCTTTGGAGGAGACAGACTGCTCTCTTTAGCTGGATCAAGAAGAAATATGAGTTAAGAAAAGTAGGATACAATAAAAATGGAGCACTAGATAAAGGACAAAATAAGCAAGTATATATAACTTACGAATATATACAGAAATTGCAGATATAAGTGGACCTTGGTACATCATTGAACCCTTCCCTGACCAATATAAGTGAATCTCCAGTCGATTATTGTTAACTATAACATTTCCTATTTCCTTAGTGTAAGCCTTATTTACACCCTCTGCTTCCTTCTCTATGTTGAAATTTTTAAGTTCATTCTTTCCCTGCAATCATAATTAGCTTTCAAGATTCCAGTTTGTCAGCATATATATATATATATATATATATATATATATATATATATATATATATATATAAAGTTCAAATGCCGCGGGGTCTTCTCGTGCGGCGGTGCGGCGGAATTCCAGAATACACCAACAGTGTAAGAAAAACACACCACAATGAAATGCAATAAAACATCACAAAATACACAACAGATCCAAAAAAAATACACCATATAACTTACCATCCCCAATGGTGTATTTTCGAACACTGTATGGTGTTTTTACTCACACCTAATGGTGTGTGCTTAGTGATGCGGGGCTCTGTTTACTCTGTTTTTTGTGGTGTATTTTCCTAACGTTGATGGTGTATATTTGTTGAACTATTGGTGTTGCCGCACCGCCGCACCATAAGACACTGCCGCACCTGAACTCGCCTCTCTATATATATATATATATATATATATATATATATATATATATATATATATATATATATAGTGTAATGCTTGTATTGGTAGTTGTACCATATATACCTGGATATCCACATCAAAAACTCGACCTGATTTGTTGATATATGGGGTTTTATAGTTGCTGTTGTTAACTAATTCAGCAAAGTGAAGTTTCACAGTGTATCTATCATTTCTTAAACAAAATCCATAATACTTCAACGAGATTGGGGATACACGTGCTGAATTGTAAAGAGAGACATCACCATCATTTATTATGTATTCGTCATTTATTGATGAGTAGGATCCCATACTACTATAACCCCATCTTGAACTGCTACTCAGAAAGAAAGTTGAACTTCCATTTGAATTCAGATCGCCTTCATAAATACTTCCATTTTTATTCATTGATACACCACCACAATTTATAAATAGATGGTCATTTACTGCAATGGAAAAAAAAATTAGAGTGTCATTATATTTGAAATAAATGTTTTTGTTAAGTAGGAGGACCAATGTCCCGTGCCCACAAAGAGTCTACCACATTGGGTATAGCTTACATTGGTTTTTTAGGTCGCTGCTGCAGTTATAGCCAACATGTTCCCAGTGTGTACCCCTAAAATATCAAAATGAACACAAAAACAAGATCATGCACTTCAAACTTCAAACTTCAAACCCATTTACATTTTTGTGTTTTTTGAGGGGAGGAATGAGTGTCCACCAAGTACTTACCCGTCACTGGAAATAAGGGATGAGAAAAAGTTCCTGCAATAGAAGTTAAAGATCCAAAGTATGGTTGATTTGAAAAGTATGAAAAATCAAAACATCTAGGGAAAAAGGCATAATAAAGAAAGGCATAGTCGATTAGAAATCCTCACAAGTTAGATGAGTTTGAATCCAAATTTTGAATTTCTACAACATTGTTTGTGAAAAGATTTTCAGACACATCGCTGCATTAAATGAAAAGTAAACAATAAGTTAAGAATAAAGCGTTACACATTTGAGAAAACGGTAATGGCAATGCCTTCTTGTCCAATCCTCCAAACATGTATAAAATTGTCCATTACATGTTAAATTTACTTTGCATGTTTTGGGTTATGTCTCGATAGAATGGAATAAGATGAGAACAAGCTAAGTACAAGTGATGACTGGGCCGAACACTTTCGGTTCAAATCCAGCCTACATATGTACATCGAGATCAAATATTGTGGCCAAAATCGTTAGACATCAGCTGCAATTCTTTATTAATGTTCATTTTATCATAGCCAGAAAGTATATGTAACAATTAATCAAAACCCTTACACAATCTTTATTACTATAGAACGTACAACATACTGTTATGTTTTTTGTTTGGAATCCAAGCACTTACATATTCATAGTCGAATTGGTTATCCATGTTGGAATTGTCCCATTGAGTTTATTTCCTCGAAGAAATCTGAAAAGCAACTCAAATTAACATTCTAGCAAACCTAGCATGCTTTGATGCATAATGTATAGCAATCTCCACAATAAGAAATACAATATATATATATATATATATATATATATATATATATATATATATATATATATATATATATATATATAATGTTTTTGTGAAAGCAATGGATAAGATATGTTTATGTAAACTTGCTTACATGTACATTGGTGGGACCAGGGTGGAATGATTTGGAATTTGGCCAAACAAACTATTGAAACTCAAGTCCCTGAAGGAAAATATATATATAATGAAAATAATCAAAACTAAACATGCCAAACTGTACACAAGTGGTTTCAATCAAAATTTGCAAATAACTCACAGAAAATACAGATCCTTTAGATTCCAGATAATGTCAGGAATAGGGCCAACAAGTGAACATTTCCTCAATATCCTGATCGAAAATATTAGGGCTTAATAGCAGCTTCATTTCAAATTAAAGCAAAAGGAGCAGATTAATGTATCTGAGAAATGAAAGCTTACAGATAGTTCAAGGAATCCATATTTGTAAAATTAGGAAACTGCCACTGTCCTCCTCCAACTAAGTCGCTTACATACCTGCACAATATATATATATATATATATATATATATATATATATATATATATATATATATATATATATATATTATAAGATCGAGTGAGCAAGCGAGGTTGATTATTGTAATAAATTTATTTAATACATCTTAACATCTTAACACATCTTAATTTTCATCTTGTGTAAATAATATATATATATAGGGAAGGGATCAGGTGATGCTTCCCGTGAGGTTGTGCGGTTGGACGCACGTTAAGCATTAACCTGACGCACTTAAAGTACACAACACACGCACATTAAGCACACAAATAAAACACCTTCAGAACACAACCTCACGCATGTAAAGCACAAGCCTCATGCATGTTAAGTACAAGGCTTATGCATGTTAAGCAGAAGCCTCACGTATATAAAGCACAAGTCTCACACATGTTAAGTACAAGTCTCACACATGTTAAGCAGAAGCCTCACGCATGTTAAGCACAAAAACAGACGCACCTTAAGTTTTAAAAACAACTCACATTAAGTACACACTCACGCACATTAAGTACAAAACTCACGCACCTTAAGCACACCACTCACGCACATTAAGCACAAAAACTCACGCACATTAAGTATAAAACTCATGCCCTTTAAAGTTTCTATTAGAGCATATAGATAAAGGGTAGTCTATTTGAGGACTTAAGTGTCCTTTCACCTAGCAATTGGTTGCAACGGCCTTTGGCGCCATTTCTATTCGTTTATAGCTTTTGTCTTTGGCTACTCTGTACGTTACACAAACAGACTTCACCTTTCCTCTCTGTTAATCCAAAATCTCCATTGGCATGCTTATCAGAGCCATGGAGAACCAGCTACGCTGCGGCACTATCCGGCACCGGAGAAATGAACCAGCCGGTGAATCAACCACCTTCGATGAATCAACCACCAGCCACCGCAACTCACCACGGTGTTTCGCAGAGGAACGAAAATGATGATGTAGAGAATCCACTGTATCTCAATGTCAATGAGAATCCAAATAATGTCCTTGTCAATCCGCCTCTTACAGGAAACCTCAACTACAGTTCGTGGAGGATTTCCATGCAAGTAGCTCTGAAGGTGAAGAACAAGTGGTCCTTGATCGACGGAAGCATCGAGACGCCGGACAGAACTCAAAACCAGTACGCCGCATGGAGGAGGTGCAATTTGATGATCAAGTCATGGATCCTCAAGGCGGTTCATCCTTCGATCGCACAAAGCGTTATGTACATGGAAGGCGCGAAGGACATCTAGAATGATCTGAAAAAGAGATTCTCACGACGCGATCTTCATCGCATTTCGATCTTGCAGAACGAAATCTACGGTCTCAAACAAGGGAACCTCTCTGTAAACGGTTACTATACGAAGTGTAGATCGTTGTGGGAGGAGATGAATGAGATGCGTCCACTTCCGATCTGCAAATGCGCCCCTCGCTGTTCATGCGATTTAATTGATGAAGTTAGAAAGGATCGGGAAATTGATCAGATTATACGATTCCTCCAAGGATTGAGCGAGGAATATAACTCTCTCAAGTCAAATGTCTTAGTCCTAGATCCGCTACCAGAAATGCATAAAATATTCATGATGGCAGAGAAGTTTGAAAGGCAACTTGGCGTTACAAACCTAAACCTGGAGTTCAATCACACCAATGCCATTCAGATAAGCCAGAACCAGAACTTCACAGAAGACACTGTTGCAATGAGTAGCCATTACAATGGTAAGAAGGCTATGAACTCCAGTGGTGGGAACAAGAATGCGAAATGTACCTACTGCGGCATGGTTGGACACACCGTTGAGAAATGCTACAAGAAGCACGGGTATCCACCTAGGTGGATACCAGGCTATAAGTCAAGAGGCAAGCAATCTGCCATGGTAGCTGCCACAAGTTCTGAGAATGATATGGTCACCTTTGAACAGTTGCAGAAACTCATAACCCTCCTGCAAACTCAAGCGCAGCAAAACCAGAATTAGAATGCCATGACCGCAGCTGTGTCCTTAATTACAAAATTCTACAAGTTGGAGTCACACAATGAAGGCAAGTATAGCTTGAACTCTCACATATATTCTGTTAATCTATGTTCATCTACTTGGATATTAGATTCGGGAGCGTCCGATCATATCGTTTGCTCTCGTGAGTTTTTTAATGACTGCCATACTGTTGAAGGAACAATTGTGAACCAACCAAATGGAGAGAGTATCACAATTCAACACAAGGGAAATGTCAAACTTGCATATGATCTATGGCTGCAGAATGCACTACACATTCCAGAGTTTAAATTCAATATCGTTTCTGTTAGTAAGCTACTGCAAGACTCACCTTACTTTTTGATCTTTGATTCTGGCCAGTGTCTACTTCGGAATCTTGGGAAGACAACTGGTTTTGATAGGGAAGAGAACGGCTTATATCTTTTGCTTCGACCACCAGAAATCAATTCTTGTAACCATTTTGTTTTGCAGTGTAATAGTGCTGAACTTTGGCACAAACGATTGGGGCATTTCCCCATTAATAAAATCCATCTCATCAAGAATATAGCTGCCTCTCATCCAAAGAACATACCATGTGATGTGTGTCATTTTGCCAAACAGAAACGGTCACCATTTCCCCTAAACAGCACTGCTTCAAGTGAATGTTTTATATTAGTCCATGTTGATATTTGGGGTCCCTTTTTAATTAAATCCCTAGGGGGAGAAAGATATTTCTTAACGGTGGTGGATGATTACTCGAGGTATACATGGATACAGCTCATTAAAAACAAATCTGAAGCAAGGGGAGTTATAAAGAACTTTCATAAGCAAGTTTAGACTCAACATGGAGCAACCTTGAAAACTTTTCGAAGTGATAATGGCCTAGAATTCATGATGACACAGTTTTTTTGCAAAGAATGGAATAATGCATCAACCATCATGTGTGAACACACCTCAACAAAATGCGGTGGTCGAGCGAAAACATCAACATGTTATGAGTGTAGCTCGGGCTCTCCGGTTCCAAGCCAATCTTCCTCTTGAATTCTGGGGATTGTGTGTTCTATATGCTGCATTCATTATCAACAAGCTTCCATCTCCTGTCACCAATTGGATAAGCCCATATCAAAGGTTGCATGGAAAGGAACCAAGTCTTGACAGCTTGAGGGTATTTGGTTGCTTAAGTTATGCAGCTACCCTTCCTCAGTCTCGGCATAAAATGGTTCCTCGCAGTAGACAATGCACATTTATTGGAATACCAGCCAACATCAAAGGTTACCTGTTGTATGACATGGACGATAAATCTACATTCATCTCTAGAGATGTAATCTTTTATGAAGAGCGATTCACTATGGCTGATCAAGTTCATCATATAGTATATCACAGTCAGCCTATGTTTAATCCATCTCTGCCAAGCATTCCCATCACCAATCTTGAGGAGTTCAACTGCCTAGATCCTAATTCTAATTCTATGTGCGGAGAGCCTATACATGAAATGAATGATAGCAGAAGCAATATAACGGTGCCTGAAAGTCCATCATCTGATCACTTTGAGCCAATATGTGATCATTAGAATGAAGTCCATACTAGCAGCAATGAATCTTCACCTCACGAAGCTCATGATGAAAACTGCAGTGAAGAAATAAATACCAGTGATCCTCCCTCACAGCCCTGGAGATCAACCAGACAACGCAATGTTCCAACTAAACTGCAGGATTATTACTGTGAAGCTGTTGTAAGCAACAGGACTTTCCCCCACTCCTTATCAAAGGTAATATCTTATGCTAATAATCTCACCCCTATGCACAAGATATTCTCTTTGGCTGTGTCATCAATCAAGGAACCAAGAACTTACAATCAAGCCATTCAACACGAATGCTGGAAGGAGGCAATGAATGATAAAATTAAGGCTCTTCAAAACAACCATACGTGGGAGCTGACTGACCTACCCCCAGGGAAAATACCTATAGGGTGCAAGTGGATTTTCAAAGTTAAACTCAAATCTGATGGCACAGTAGAAAGACACAAGGCAAGGCTTGTGGCAAAGGGGTACACATAACAAAAACTCACATTAAGTACACACTCACGCACATTAAGCACAAAACTCACGCACATTACGCACAAGACTCACGCACATTAAACATTACACACTCATGCACATTAAGCACAAATCTCATGCACATTAAGCACAAGACTCACGCACATTAAGTACAAAACTCGCGCACATTAATCACCCGCACAACCGCACGGCAAACACTTAAATGCACCTTTACCGAAACCTATATATATATATATATATATATATATATATATATATATATATATATATATATATATATATATATATATATATATATATATATATATAGGGTTACACTCATGCGCGAATAGGTGCGCAGGTGCGAAATGCGAACCAATCAGCGCACTCCACGTGTCAGCATTCATTGATCGGGTGCACCTACTTTCACCTATAAGTGCACCTACTTTCGTCTGCAAATGCATGTTGTTTTTGCCTCTACTTTCACTTTCAAGTGCATCTACTCTCACCTACAAAAGCATGTAATTTTGTCCTGTTATCAATCATTGATCAGGTGCACCTACTTTCACCTACAAGTGCACCTACTTTCACCTATGTGCACCTAGTTCTAACTATATGCGCATCTAGTTATAACTATATGCGCACCTAGATCTGGACACGTGGCGCGCACTGATTAGTTTGCATTTTTGCTCCTGGACGCGGCATTCGCACCTGAACGCAACTATATATATATATATATATATATATATATATATATATATAATGAAAATGTTACAATAATCAAGCTCGTTCGATCTTACAATTCCTCAAGCTGTGTCAAGTTTGAAAATGCAACAGCAGGGAGAGGACCTTCGAAATTATTTCCCAGTAGAGACCTACTCCATCATATCAATCAACAAATGAGGATCCATCCATCATAATATATATAAAACCACAATTAAGTTTCATCATCTCAATTGCTTTTAGTGCTAGGTATGTATGCATGTATATATATATATATGCCTTACAAATATTCGAGACTTTGTAGTTGTGCAATGAAATCTGGGATTGGTCCACTCAAGTTATTTCCTTGAACATTCCTGAAGAAATAATTAATTAGCAGAGCAGATGACTGATTAAGTTGAAGAAATTATATTATTTACATACATATACATACTTACAGATATTCAAGAAGAACTAGATTTTTAAGCTGATAGGGCAGCGGACCAGAAAGGTTATTGTTACTAAGGTCCCTGGATTAGTATAAACAATTGCAAATGTACAATTTTTTTTAAATGAAACTAAATAATAAACCCGAAAGAATGAACAAGTTCTTTCCCATTAATTAATTGAATGAGTAAATAAATTATTTATATACTTACAGCATTATTAGATTTACGAGGGAACCAAATTGATTTTGAATTGAACCGCTAAATAAATTAGCGGATAGATTCCTGCAATGAAACTTATAAGTACATGCATTTCATATATATATATATATATATATATATATATATATATATATATATATAGCTCCATTTATTTATTCAATCATTATTTCCTGTATATAGCTCCATTTATTTTATTCAATAGTTACTTAATAAACCTGCAATATAAACGAATTGACTTAATGAACTTATATTTGTGATTTAATGAAATGTCAACTTAATGTGTCTGCAATAATAAACTTAATGTAACCTATAGTGGTAATTAATGTAATTGTATATCAATATAAGTGTTGTTTAAAATATTTTAATTGAGTTTTTCAATGATATATTTTTTATGCGTTAATTTTATTTGTATAACAAAAAAATAAAAATAAATTTATGTTAAAAAAGAATATTGGGAGAGAAATTAAGGATTGTTTGATATAGTTTGCGTTAATCTTGCCCGTAAAAGGCAAAATTCCCTTATCTCAAGACTCTTACACCTCAACCCATTAGGTAGGAGGACCCGTAGTGTCTGGTCCCATAAGGAGCACACCACATTGGATGTAACTCCTACATTATTGCGACTGTTAGGGCTCAACCCTGTGTACTTACCCACAATCTGTCTCTCATGAACCAACTGATATAATTTGGGTTAATCTTGTAAGATGGACCAGGGTGTAGGATATAACAATTTGGTGTACTCCGTAATAGTTATTGACCCAAAAATAGGATATCCAATTAAAAATGTGAACAATTTTTTTAAAATAAATTAAATACTCCATCTGTCTTATTTTATGTGTTTGGTTTGGTTAATAGGACGTGAGGTTACTTATAATTAAAATTTTCATAATATTAAGTTTAGTATTAGCATATAAAATTTATATATTTAGAGTACTATTAAATACCAAAAAAAAATTAAAATTATAAGAAAATAAGCGAAGAAAAAAAGAGTTTGTTTGACTAATAAATAACGAACATCACAAGTAAAATTGATAGAAAAGAATATTTGGGGTAAGATAGAAAAGAATAATAAACAAGATAGAATGATTCTCATCTATTAATTTACAAAAATAAATAAATGGATTACTCATATACTTACAGAAACTCTAGATTTACAAGGGAATTTAGTTGAGGTGGAATTGGACCATTAAATGAAATACCAGCTAGATCCCTGTAGTGGAAACCACAAGTACATTTTAGACATTTTAGACCGTTCGATTTAATTATTTATTCAGTTAGCTAACAAGTAACAAATAACTCAAAAACTTATGTAATATCATCTTACGTGAAAAAAAAAATATCAAATATGTAAACAAAAAATAAATATTTTTCTATAAGTCAACAAGTATATTTTTAACTTTGCTAAAAATTATTGTGTTTCCCTGATATAAGTATTGATAAAATGTAATACTATACGAACTTTTTCATTTAAAAAAAGAAAAAAAAAAGAAAAAAAAAGAGTAATAGTTGTTGATCCAAAAATAAGACATCAAATTAATTCAATTAGCTAACAAATAACTTAAAAAGTTATGTAATACCATCTTACGTGAAAAAAAAAATCAAATATGTAAACATAATTTTAAATATTTTTCTATAAATTAACAAGTATTATATTTTCAAGTTTGATAAAAATTATTGTGTTTCCTTCACAAATATTTGTAAAATGTAATACGTATTTTTAAAGTTAATACCGTACTTTTCAATGAGCTAACAAGTACGGAGTATTATGTTTTCTAGTGCACTAAAAATATCACTTGTTGACTTATAGAGTATTAATAAACAACACATATACTTACAAATACATTAGATATACAAGAAAACGCAGCTAAGTCAGAATTAAACCACTAAACAAATTATCAAATAGATCCTTGTAGTGAAAATCACAAGTGCATTTCATATAGAATTCTATTTATTTATTCAATCATCTGGTAAAAAACAAAATCAAAAAAAAAAAAAAAAAAAAAAACATATGTGATATTATATCACAAGAGACAAATCTCAAATATATAATTTCTTTTAAGAAAAATATAATACTGACTAATAAGTATTATATTTTCTAATTTACTGAAAAAAATATTGCTTTTCTTTGGAAAGTATTAATGAAATGTAATATCTTTCTATAAACAAGTAATCATTGTTAATCTATCAAGAGGAAATAATCATTGTTAATCTATCAACAGGATATCAGATCAGATTGAAAATGTGCACAATACAATTTTTAAAAAGAAATTAAACACTAAATTAAACAAGATACATAAAATTATTACCTTCTAATTAACGAAGAAGTATTTCTTGCCTGTTAATTAACAAAATGAGTAAATAAATTACGCATATACTTACAAATACTCCAGATTTACAAGGGAACTCAAGTGAGTAGGAAATGAACAATCGAATAAATTTTCGGATAGAATCCTGCATTTAATGAAAATCACAAGTATATTTTAGACGGAGTTTCATTTATTTATTCAATTAACCAGTAAATAACATAAATTTTATGAGAAATTGTTTCACGTGAGACATATCTCAAATATGTAACTTTTAAAAAACAAAACTGTAATACTTTTATGTGAGCTAATTAACAAGCTTTACATTTTCTAGTTTACTAAAAATTAATGATTTTTCTATAAACATATTGGTCAAATTAAATGTAACACTTTTTGACCGAAGATGTAATATTTGTTGACTAGCTTAAAAATAGGATATCAAATTGAAAATGTGCACATTTTGGAAAAAAAAAAAAAAACAATAAGCAAATTAATAGAATATGTAAATACATGAATATATACTACAATGTAATAGAGTTTTTTTTTTTTTTTTTTTTTTTGAAAGTTACTGGCTCTATTACATTGTAGTATCTGTTCATATACTTTCTCAACCTATTGAAACACAAAGAACCAATAACGCCTCCACTGAGGCTTGAACTCGTAATCTTCCAAATGGAAGTCCAACCCGGGTACCATTAGACCACATAGTCCTGGTCAATGTAATAGAGTTATTAGCATTAAAAAAGAAAATAGAATATGTAAATACGTTCCTCATCATATACTTACAGAGGTGTTAGATTTTTTAGGAAAGCCAACTGAATTGGAATTGGACCGCCAAATAAGTTACTAGATAAATCCTTATAATGGAATCACAAGTGCATTTCAAACAGAGTTTCATTTATTTATTCAATTAACTAAGCCAAAAGATACTTAATAGAATATGTAAATAAATTACTCATATACTTACAAATTTGTTAGATTTTTCAGGGAAGCCAGTTGAGTTGGAATTGGACCGCTAAATGAATTATCAGATAGATCCCTATAATGAAAATCACAAGTTCATTTCAAATAGATTTACATTTATTTATTCAATTAACTAAGCTAAAAGATACTTAATAGAATATTTAAATAAATTACTCATATACTTACAGATATGTTAGATTTTTTGGAGAAGCTAAATGAATTATGAGATAGATCCCTATAATAAAAATTACAAGTTCATTTCAAATAAAGTTACATTTATTTATTCAATTAACTAAGCTAACAGATATCAAGACTATTTGGTCTAATGGTATCCGGGGTGGACTTCCAAGTGGAAGGTTGTGATTTCGAGCCTCAGTGGAGGCGTTATTGGCTCTTTGTGTTTCAGTAGGTTGAGAAAGTATATGAACAAATACTACAATGTAATAGAGCTAGTAGCATTCAAAAAAAAAAATTTAATTTTAATTAACAAAAATCATCTAATTTCTTATATTTATCTAAACTCCTAAATCTATTTAAACCCCTAAACCCCTAAATTTAAATTACAACCTTAGTCACTATTACAAACAATTACAACATCTTGTAAGAATACATATTCAATATATAATGTAAAAAAATCAACACTTAATCAAATATTATATAATAGTCAAATTATATCTTAAAACTTATTAAAAAAAGTTAAAATGTAATATTCAACACAACAGTATCCAATAATGTAAGAAATCAAATTTGTAAACTTGGATGATGAAACATAAAACGAGCCACAAATTTGGTGAGGAGCCACAAATTATTTTTAATCGTGACTAAGGTTGTAATTTAAATTTAGGAGTTTAGGAATTTAAATAAATATAAGAATTTAGATAGATATAAAAAATTAGATGATTTTTGTTAATTAAAATTAAAAATTCTTAATTATAAATATAATAATTTAAAAATTCAGTTCAATTAGAATTATAAATTTTAAGTAAAGAACATTTTAACAATATTTGTCAATCATAAGGAGGATCGTTATACCCTGCACCACGGCGGGCGTAGCACTGTGCGCCCTGCGCCTCCCAAAACGACATCGTTTTGGCAAGTTATGTAGGGAGTTGACGTGATTATGTGTATTGTTTATACAATTATGTGTATTGTTTATACAATTATGTGTATTTGTTTATACAATTATGTACATTTTTTATACAATCATGTACATTTTTTTTATACAATTATGTACATCCGGAACAGGAAATTTATGTCTATTATGTTAATAGTTGATGGTTATTATATTACAATTATGTTATACAATTGATGTTAATAATCAAGGAATAAATATGTTTAGGAGAGTAGATATATTTTGTTAATTAGAAATAAAAAAAACTTACCTAATAAAATGAAGTATTAGATATTTTGCAAAAAAAGGACCCGGTTAATATTAACTTTGTTTTTTAATAATGTGGCATCTTCTCCTTCACCGCCAGTGTATAGCATCTATACACCAACGGTGCATCAAATATTAATCCTAGTAATATATACCATTTAAAAGAAACATAATCATAATTAAAAAAAATATATGTTAATTAGATAATTTTACAAATTCTATTTTATTAAATAATGAAACAGATAATTTTATATTAAATGACTTAATATTATTTATTTATCTCACTTTACCTATGAAAATTTACTATTTATTGGTTAATATAATTATTCATTTGTCGCATTTTACCTATCATATTTATTATTAATTGATTAAATCAATTTTTAATTTCAACTTTTTTTTAAGCAAACGAATCAACTTTTATTAAAGGAGAAATGCCCGGTGGGTTGCAAAGTCCCTGAAATCGTACAAAAAAACGGTCTTGACTTTGGTAGATAAAGCATTAAAGGAGCAAAAAATCGCTGGGTAGGAAGCGGCACGGTCTTCTGTCGCAAGCGCATCGGTCACCCAGTTGGCCTCCCGGTACACATGCTTTAACGAGCAGCCCCATGAAGCGAGATAGGACCGAGTATAGCCGACCGCTTCCTTGATTCTCCAAGGAATCTTCGCCAGCGTCTTGTTTGCAAATACGTGCAAGCTCAAGCGAATCGACCTTTTTGAGAGAAGGCTTTATAATCATAGAATCACACTAATGAAGCGCGAACCGTAAAGCAAGAGCTTCGGCCTCAAGAGCCGAAGTGGCCTCCAGTATAAAGCAAAGACCTGCAACTAGCAGCCCCCGGGGGTCTCTGAGGCAAGCACCTCCCGCTGCGCCCTCTACCATAAAAACAGCGTCCGATTTAAGCTTTAATCTCCCTAATGGAGGTGCTACCCACTTGATCCACTTCACAGTCAGTCTTGGCGGGGAGGAACAGTTGGCCACCAAACCTGCAGAGAGGAGGAAACTGTCTAGCGCACTGATGTGGCGGGGCGGACTGGCGAGGGAGATGAGCAAGGATTCACGGGTGACTCTGTTAATAAAACTTGATGGTGAGAAGGTGGAGCCTTCGTAGATGCATTCATTATACGAGGCCCACAAAAACCACAGAACCAAGCATGGCAACAAGCAAACGAAATTTCCAGTCGCATAGCCCAGTGAAGCCATAATCTACCACCTGGCAAGCCGCACAGACAGTGCCTACATTGGTAAGGGACAAACCAGATACCCCAGCGAAGTGATTCCAAACCGTTATAACAGCATTACACTGAAGGAGGCAATGTTCAATACTTGCACCTGCAGAAGCATAGAACGGGAAAACAGATGGCACGCAGAAACCAAAACGCTCAATGACATCTAGAAACAGAAGATGCCTTCTCATGAGCCTCCACATGAAAACCGAGACTTTAGATGGAAAGCCCTTCCCCCAAATGCTAGCAGAAGACAAGCTGAAACCCTTCCTCGACCGGAGTAACTCAAACGCTGAGTCATCAGCCACGTTATCAGCCAGACAACAACATCGGAGTCATCAGCCACGTTATCCTCAACAAAGGCCCTCAGGCACCGCATACGCCTCCACGTTAGTGAGTCAGAGGCTCTAGCGGCATCATCTGTGTACCGGCTTCGCATGAAACAGCTCCATAGCGAGTCCCCTTGCAACAAATTAAAATAAAGTTTAGCGGAGCAGACTTGCTAAATTGTCGATAGGCCGCGAATTCCTAGACCTCCTTCCACTTGTTTATGGAGCAACATAGAAGCCATTGTGTACAGGGGTATCATAGAGAGAACATGCTTAATGAGCCTGAGTCGACCCCCCGGAGAAAGCAATCTTCTTTGCCATCCCGCATGCTTCCCGTCAACCTTCTCCAGCAGGTGTTGGTAGTAGCTCAATCTGTTTCGCCCAAACAAGTTTACCCCCAGATATTTGAAGGGAAGGGTGGACCGTTGCATGCCTAGAATGCAGGACATTGCCGACATCCGCTGATTAGTGCAATGTTTGGAAGTCACAAAAAAACTTTTGGCATAATTAATTTTTTGACCAAACCCATCATGATACTGCATCAAAACCTCCGTCAAGGCTTTTAGGGAGGTCGAGGAACCATTGACAAGGATGAGAATATCATCTGCAAACGTTAAATGAGAGACCACCGGGTAGTTTAATCCCGAAGAGTAAGGTGACAGCAGTCTCGTGCCCATTTTAAGCACGAGGGAGCATGACAAAGCTTCTGAAACAAGGATAAATAGGAGCGGGGATAGCGGGTCACCTTGCTTGACACCTCTGGACGGTTGGAAGAAACCACCACCTACCGCATTGACCATAACCGACAATCTCGTTGCGTTTAGATTATCCATAACCAGATTAATAAAAGCAATAGGGAAGCCAAGCCTGGAGAGAGCGGCACGGAGAAAAGGCCAAGAGACCCGGTCGAAGGCTTTCATCATGTCGAGCTTTACCACAACATTTGAACCACGACACCTTTTGTCAATATACTGCAATAATTAAAAATCCAATAGCACATTATCCTGTATGCTGCGACCCAGAACGAATCTCGCTTGCTCTCTTGAGATTATCTTAGGCAGAACTGGGCTTAGCCAAGTAGCAAGAATTCTCGTAAAAACCTTGCTGATGAAGGTGCATAAACAGATGGGCCTGAAGTCTGCAAACGTGTCTGGATTAGGCTTCTTGGGAATCAATATAATTTGGGCACTAGTCATAGCGCGAGGGAACGGGACACCAGCAAAAAAAAATCCAAAGCCGCTCGGTAGACATCTTCGTGGACAATGTCCCAACAGTGCCTGAAAAAGGACCTCGGGTAGCCATCTGGGCCAGCTGCACTATCAGGATCAAGGCTCCAGACTGCATCTTTGACCTCCTCCCTCGTGACCGGTGAAGTCAAAATAGCTATGTTTAAATCATCCAAACTCGGTGGAAGGCAAAGAAGAAGAGGGTCCATGGCCGGACAGTCCTCTACCGTGAAACGACTGGAAAAGAAGATAACAGCCTCCTATTGTATGGCCCCCGGTGAGGTCGTGAGAACGCCGGAGCTGTCCTTAATGGTGCAGATTGTTTGTCTTCTGTTGCTGTCCTTAACCACATCATGGAAAAAGCAGGTGTTTGAATCGCCCTCTCGCAAACACTTCACCCGAGCTTTTTGTTTAAAAAATGTCTCTTCCTGTTTGAGAGTAAGAAGGAGAGCAGCTTGGAGCTTGTGCAATGCAGCCCGATTGTCAAGCGAGGGGGTGATATCAAAAGCTCCTTCCGCCTCTGCGACTGCAGTTTCCAGGCTTCTAATGCGCCTAAAAACATTGCCAAAGCAGTCTCTATTCCAAGCTCGAAGAGCTTGCTTTAGGTGCTTCAACTTGAAAGCCAGTTCTCGCATGCCACCACCATCTACTGGCAGAGTCCAATTAGCCCACACCATCTCCATAAAACGAAGATGAGATTTCCGCATATTCTGAAATCAGAATTGTTTAGGGATAGTCCTTGCAGAATTGGTCCCATTTAAGAGGAGTGGAGAGTGATCTGATGACGTTCTGGCCATCACAGTAATTTGGGTAGTTGTGAAAGAGTCACGTAGAGCTGGATTCATCAAGTAGCGATCTAACAAATTCCAGACTACTCCCGTATTGCGTATCACGTGCCATGTGTATTGCCCCCCAATTGTTGGAAGATCGAGTAGGGTATTGTTAGATATGAAATCAGAAAAGTCAGAATGCTGCCTTGCTCTAGGAAGGCGCTGCCCCGATACTCAGAGATGCTCGAGATTACATTGAAGTCCCCAGCCAAAAGGTTTGGCCTACAGACATTAAGGAACGCAGTGAGCTATGACCAGAGTTGCACTCATTCCGGTCTAGTGTGTTTCGCGTAGATCGCTGCATAGCCAAAGGAGAATTACCAAGGAGCATAGCAAACAGAGCAAGAAATAAACTGCTCACACTCATAGTCTATGTCGATTTGGAAAGAGTCCTTCCATAGTAACCAGATTTTTGAGTCCATAGAGGCGAAACCCTTATCAAAGTTGAAGTCACGGATGAAATTATTTAATCGAGTAGAAGGTAAAAAAGGCTCAATTATTGTAACCAGTTGAATGTTCTCACGACGAAGGAGTTGTTTGAGCCTGCATCGGGAAGATAGCAAGCCCTTGACATTCCAGGTGAGCAGATTCATTTGAGACGATGAGAGAAAGAAACATGAGCGATTTTACCCGCGGCAAGACGGGTAGTCATAGAGGGGACATTCGAAGAGTAATCTTTCTGAGGACGACTCTTTTTCTTGGTTATAGCAACAAAATCACCCGGCCGTGAGCTTCCCAGTTTAGATGCAAAGAACTTACTGGCTTCTTTCCTTGAATCAAGCAATGCCTGGGAGAAGCTTTGGTCGTTTTGTACTTCATCGCCCTCAGGAATATGTCTAGACTGGGATTCTGAATGGGATGATTATCGGAGGCACTGATCATCAATGAGGACCAGCCCTAGAGAAGTGATTGTTTCTGGGATGGGCACAGGCAAAGCAGTACTCTCTGAATCGTGTGGCGCTAGGTCAATCGGTTGGGCGGGGCCACCGCCCTGAGATCTGTCCTGGTCACTCTCAACTGGGTGCCAGCTTTTCCTTGGAGGAACAACCATTGGTTGCTGGGGGAGCGGCGGTAGTGCCTGAGGAAGAGTCTTTGGAGTCTCACGGTGGGGTTCCTGATGGAGGTTGTGGCCTTGAGTGTTTCGGCATCCCGAGCAGTAGGGCGGGATGTATTCGTTGGTGACCTTCTGAGCAAAATCTCCATAGGACCCATTCATAATCCAGATTTGGTGTGGGAGATCATTGCTCACGTTCAGTTCAACACAGACACGAGCCATTGATGGTCGGTTATGCGAAAGAGTGGAGGCGTCAACCTTCAACGGGGATCCAATGAGGTTGGCGATTGAGTAGATTGCCCGCTTATCCTGTAGATGGGCTAGGAACCCTTCGAATGCGATCCAGACGGGAACGATGGGGGATTCCACGTATGGGCGGAAGTCCAGAGACCATTTGACGGTGCCCATGATGAAGCCTTTGATCGACAAAGATTTCCAGAGCCAGCAGCGTTGGAAGTCGAGTTCCATATTGAAATTGAGGAGTACGTGATGTTGATCTAGCAGGCCGAGTGAGAATATTCTGCCAAATCCAATCTGATCGAATGGTTTAAGTAGGTCTGCCATCGATGGTCTACCCTTTGAGAATTTTCCAACCAGCGCGAACCTGAATTTCTGGGAGAATTGCTGCACATCTTGATCAGTGAATGAGACTGACGGCATTCCTTTATAGTGACCTGGTGGCCGAAGGGGAGAGTCGTCGGTGTTGGATGAGAGAACATCTGCAAACGTGCGAGGTGGTGGGGGCGCGGCGGCCCCCGGCGGTGCCGCCATTAGAGATCAAAGCGAGGTCGAAATTGCGGAGCGTTTAGTAACAAAAAGCGTAAAGATTTTAATTTCTACTTTTTTTCATTAACAATTTGTTATAATTTTTAAATTTAATTTCTTTTTGTTTTTGTATTTAATAGTAATTGGATGTAGTTTTTAAATATATAAATTTTATATAGTAACACTAGATTTATTTTTTATTAGTACTTTAATATAGTTTTTAAAAATTAAAATTTTATATACTAATATGGAGTAGTAAAGTAGATATTATGAAAAATCATTAACTAAAAAAGACATATGAAATGAAACTTGGAAAATAATATTTAATAATAGATAGATAAATACAATAATGTAGTACATTATTAACCAATGTGAATGAGACATTATAATATTTCGTTTGCCAAAAAAAACGTAAGACATTTTTGTTTCAAATGACCTGGTACTGTTTTCCTTTATTTCTCAACTCATTTAATATAACTAAAACATCCTCAGTTTTCTTTTTTTTTAAAAAAAATCATTATAATTATATAAAAGGCATTCTTGTGTCTATATGTAACCAAAATAATCTACTAATAAAATAATAAAAACGCAAACAATTAAAATTACTAAGTTACATGGAGAAGGCGGGCAGTTGGTCTCCTTCCGCCGGAGATGGTGACCAACTGATCGCCTTCTTTGGTAGACGGCGGCCGGCGATGGTTTGGTCATTATTGGTCGCCGGATTTTTGCAGGAATCGATGCATGAACTGAAATGACTTGTAATAGCAGGTCATTTACTGGTTCTTGGATTTCATTGTGTCAATTTACCATGTTAAAGGGTGTAATTGCACTTTTTAAAAGTTTAAGGACCTAATTGATTTTTCAGGTAAAATTTAGGGGCTTATTTGACCCCTTTTCAAAAAAAAATTACTTTTCATAAGTCCATAGTTAACTGACACAAATTAAGAAGGTAATTAGACTACTCCAACTTGAGTAATATATAAAATGTTTTCTTCTGCCTATTAAAGGGTGTGTGGTGTTCGCTTACAAGTACTCCAACTTCATATCACCAAGAAATGGGGGTATTGATCCTTCCAATTTGTTGCCTTCAAGATTCCTATCAAATACAAGAGGCCAGGATACAATAACTTTTTAAACAATGTTTATACTCATCATTCTTATTTCATTTAGTCAAGAATGAAAGAAAATTAAAAAAAATAAAATAAAAAATTAAAAACAATTTAGGGTACTTACAAATGCTTGAGATTTTTTAAATTTGCATATGATGTTGGAATCTCGCCAGAAAATTTGTTCCAATACAATTTTCTATAACAAATACAACAGAGACAACTCAACATATGCATATGTTAGCTACTTTGCAATAATTATTAAAAATCAAACGTAATAACAGTATATATTATTTCATGCAGGATACTTACAGCGATGTTAAATTTGTAAGGCTTCCGATTATTTCTGGTAATTTACCATCCAAATCCCGACTTGAAAAATCACTACAACAGATTTGCAGGAAAATCAATAGTAATCAAAGATTCACACAATTAGCTAATAATTGGATTAAATAGCTAATTGGATCACTAGTTCATAGTTCAATACAAAGTTAGGAAAAATAGTACAAACAAATTGAAGATTATGATAAGAAAAAGAGCTTTTTTTTTTTTTTCTTTAAAAGAAAATATAACGAGATACAAATTGTAATAATCCCTAACTGTACTATATATAGTAATAATCTCTCAAAATTATATATTTTTCAGCCTTATTTTATGTGTCTAGTTTAATTAACAAGATTTGACTATTTGACTGAAGTTATTCACAAATTATTTTTTTTACTATTTAATTTAGTTTTACTGCATACATAACTGTTAAGGAAAATAAGCAAAGAAAGAAAATGTTCAATAACTAATGAATAGTAAATACGATATGTAAAATGTGACATAATAATATTTCTCCAATTATATATATATATATATATATATATATATATATATATATATATATATATATATATATATATATAAATATATATATGAAAAAATAACAATTTTCACCTAAATTATATGCTTATAACATTTTTCTTCCATGAATTAATCATGCACCCACATTAACCCTTCAATTATTTTAAAAGTGACATTTTTTTTTCATTTTTGTTAAATGGAAATTTGTACCCTTAAAAATAAGGGTAAAATAGGTATTTTGTTTATTTTTATTCTTCATCAAATTATTGTCTATATGTGTGAATTAGAATAAATGTTAAAAAGAAAAGATATTATTTACAAATATTATAATTATAATTTTAAACTAATGCTACTAACATAATTAAGACTGAAAACACAAATAATTCATTATTTTAATGCTAATTTTGTATTTAAGTCCTAATAATGTTCCTAGCAATACCTTAAATTTATAATTATAATATTTGAAAATGGTGTGTCTTATTTTTTATATTTATTTTGATTCTCACATATAAACAATAATTTGTTGGAGAAGGAAAGTAACTTCATTGAAATACCTATTTTGTTTTTATTTTTAACTGTTCAAAAACTCATTTAACAGATAGGAAAAAATTCGTCACTTTTAAAATAATTGAGGGAGAAAATGTGAATACATAAATAAATCAAAGAAAAAAAAATTATAAACATAATTTAAGGAAAAAAGTGTCATTTTCCTTATATTTATTTATACTCATTTGTCCTTGACTAGCATTACTAAAGTCATCTTGTCGTCACGAAGAAGATATTATGCATTGATACCACCTCAATCCTGCTAGCTAGATATCCCGATGAATAGGTTATTAAAAAAAAAAAAAAAATTATTGCTAAAGTCATCTTGTCGTCACGAAGAAGATATTATGCATTGATACCACCTCAATCCTGCTAGCTAGATATCCCGATGAATAGGTTATTAAATAATTATAATAACGTTAGAGATTATGATTCCATTTGGCAAATATTGTTGATTAGCTAGTTGAAGTCTGAAAATTAAGAAAGTCAATAACCGGTCAAAGTACCTATAAAGTCCTTGTACTATAATGTTTTGTTTAATTTAGTCATTGTACCTTTATTCTGTTCAATTTAGTCCATTTATTTTAAAAAGTGGTGAAACTAAATACAATTGTCCAAATCTCATTAAAAACATGATTTTAATTATTTATTTTAGACATACTAATTTAATATATTGGTGGTAAAAATAACTAATTTTAAATATTTATAAAGAAATATATGAGTAAGAATATAAATATCGTCAGCGCCACGTAACCTAAGTTAGCCGTAATATTAACACCATTAATTATTGTCCTTAATTACACCAATTTTTAAAGTACATGGACTAAATTGAACAAAATAAATGTATAAGGACTAAATTGAACAAAACGCTATAGTACAGGGACCTCGTAGGTACTTTGACCATCAATAACCTAATCAATTTAACTAGGGTTGTTTTCGATTTAAACTATTCCTGATAAGTTAAGAGAGGGAAAACATTGTGAAATGCAGTTTATTTATTTATTTATTTATTTTTGAAAGAGTGAAATGCCCTTTAAAATTGAAGATAATTATGAAAATGTTACCATGTTTTATTCTTTTTTAGATTTTTCAAATCCAATGGTGCAATCAATAAGTCGTTCTCATTAGGAGTCAAATTTGTGATCTTATGATCATAAAGTCAATAGTCTAACCAACTTGATTAGAGTTAATCCTCCCATTCATTTTGCTAACCAAATGCATGTAAACGAGAAAATCGTAAGAATTATTTGAAATATTAAAATAAAATGAATATGTATACTACATTTCTGTCACCCGGCAAACATCTTTATCGAGACTGCAGTCGCAAGTAACGCTATCTTCAAGTTCTATGAAACAATGCGAGTTATGACGATAAGTCCTCGTCTGACATCCAAGCAATTCAATAATGGCTTTCTCTGGCATATGTGACAGAGAAACAAAAAAGAAAAATAAATAATCAATACATAACATTTTAGTTTATCAATTAATACTGGTATCAAATAATTTCTCAATAATTTAAATCCACTATAACTACAAGGGTATATGTCTATATGACAAATTTAAAAAAAAAAAAAAAAAATTCCCAAAATATATGACATGTTATATTTGAAAATAAATATTAAATACTGTATAGTTAATTTAAAATATCAGGAAAAAAAAAACTTCACATATTATATTGGTGTGTGTAATCTAATGAAAAAAGAATATTTATAGGCCGGCACTTACCATCTTCGGTGCCAAGAGGTTTGCTTTGGTTGTCAGCAAGGTTGAGTATCTTAGTGCAGATTTTTGAAATAGGTCCTGTTGTTGTTACAGTTCCTTCTCCCATGGTTAGTTGAGAGTTGAGAGAGAAGAGCAGCAATAATAATATCATCTTTTCCATCTCTCAATAATTGAGTTGATTCAATTCTCTGATTTGTTTGGTATCTCTTGAGTCCATACAGCCTATACCCTCCTATTTATATTGCTTAAACAAGTTGGCAAAAAGACGCATGCCACGTTTAATTAAAACCTGGTTTATACTTTATTTGCACACTTAATTAGTTATTAGGATGGACATTAAATTGAAGTTAAAACCCTAACACTTAATTAGTTATTATGAGTTTATGTGTATTATGTATTATGTTAGATTATGTGTATTATACTATTATGTTATGAGTTTATGGGTATTATGTTATGAATTTATGTGTATTATGTATTATGTTAGATTATGTGTATTATGTTATAAGTTTGTGTGTATTATGTGTCATGTTAGATTATGTGTATTCTGTTATGAGTTTATGTACATTCGAAACAGAGTTTTTTTTTTTTTTTTTTTTTTTTTTTTTTTTTTTTGAATTTATAACGGTAGAAACGGGAAACGGAATTTCTAAAAAAAATAAAAAATAGTCAAAACGATGTCGTTTTGGCCAGGGTGCACAATGCATTGTGCGCCCTGATGCACGATATAATTTGTCATCGACACTAGCAGGTAGCCTTTTTCACTTTGAATGATTTTATTGCGGACCTTATCAAGCACCAAATAATCTTTACTTAAGTCGTCTCCTCAATTATGCCAATATTGGGCGAGTAGACGATTCTCACTTTCGATAGTTTTCACTTTGGATTCTTATTAATTCCCTTTGAACCTTATCAAATACGGGAAAATTCTGATCTCTTTGATCTAAGCAGTACGTCTTTCTTGTCACTACACGCACCACCCTCAGTCCCTCACAACAAAGAGTAAAAAATGAGACACACAAGCTAAGACCCTCACAACAAAGAGTAAAAAATGAGACACACAAGCTAAGACTCTAATTTTACCACAAAAGATAGTTTCTTTTTTTTTTTTTTTTATTACAAAAGAAGGGGGATACTCATACAATCTACATCTACTACAAGGCTCAAACCTTAGACCTCCCACATAAGAGACTAATCAAATACCAATAGACCACAAGCCACTTTACTCATAAAAGTGAATAATTGACCCCAACTTAAATATCAGGCCGGCAACTTCACAATCTTTTATGGAGTAGATGTCAAATCATATCATTTTAGTTTCAATTTATTCAAGAAAATTTTAATGTGTCATATATGTAGTATAGTATAGTGATAAACTGATAATCATATATTACAATTTTACTAATTAAACGTAAAACACATAAAAATTCCTTTTATTTAAAGAGTAATACTAAAGGCATACATATTTTTGTTCACAGTCTGCACAACTTTTTAGACTAATTTCGCATTAAATCTTTTTTTTTTTTAGACCACAAGATTACTTAAGAGACCCTAACTATAGAAAGAACTTTCAAACCTAAATCATACTCACACTAATTTGGTCAAAGTACCTACGAGGTCCCTGTACTATAGCGTTTTGTTCAATTTAGTCCTTATACCTTTATTTTGTTCAATTTAGTCCTTGTACTTTAAAAAATGGTGTAATTAAGGACAATGGTTAATTGTGTTAATATTACGGCTATCTTAGGTTACGTGGCGCTGACGATATTTATATTCTTACTCATATATTTCTTTATAAATATTTAAAATTAGTTATTTTTACCACCAATATATTAAATTAGTATGTCTAAAATAAATAATTAAAACCATGTTCCTAATGAGATTTGGACAATTGTCCTTAGTTTCACCACTTTTTAAAATAGAAGGACTAAATTGAACAGAATAAAAGTACAAGGACTAAATTGAACAAAACATTATAGTACAAGGACTTTATATGTACTTTGACCCACTAATTTCATACTAGCTTTTTTTCAATTCAAAAGTTATCAAAGTATTGCGTTTAGTGGCATGGCCCAACTTATCAGAGATTCGTGATTAGATTAAAAGCACCCTTATTTGATAAATTGATACTCCCTGTCTCCCTCTATCATATACTCCCTCAATCTCACTCAATCACACTATATATATATATATATATATATATATATATATATATATATATATATATAGGAAGGTTCAAGTGCGGCGGTGCGGCGTCACCAATAGTTCAACAGATATACACCATCAACGTTAGGAAAATACACCGCAAGAAACAGAGGCAAATTAGGTACGCATCACAAAAAACACACCATTTGGTGTGAGTAAAAACACCATACAGTGTTCGGAAATACACCATTGGGGGTGGTGAGTTATATGGTGTATTTTTTTGGGTCTGTTGTGTAAAGATTATAAACTATACTTTATTGATGTAAAATAATGAGCTATAAATAGTGTACAAGAGAGGGAGAATAGTAGGAGGTTGTAACAACTTGTTCAACACACCTATTCTACAGGAACTTAACTACCACAAATACAAAGAGATAAAATGTCAGCCACACATATCCTTAACACGCCCCCGCAAGATTGAGGATCCGTCGGAGACTCCAATCTTGGAACGGAATAGAAAAAACAAAGAGCGGCCCAACGGCTTTGTGAGGAAGTCAGCTAACTGAGCCGACGAAGGAATGTGCCGCACTACCAGTGAACCATTAGAGACTAAGTCACGAACAAAGAAGTAGTCCAGCGCCAGATACTTCATACGTGAATGGAAAACCGGATTTCTGCACACATATGTCGCACTAAGGTTGTCACAGAACATAACAGATGTTTTCACTAGTTGCACCCGCAGCTCGTGAAGCAGATTCTTTATCCACAAGACCTCTGCAGCAGCATTCGCCAAGGCTCGATATTCATATTCCGTCGACGAGCGTGACACGGACTTCTGGCGGGTGGACTTCCAAGAAACAAGATTAGCACCAAGATACACCAAGTATGCGGTGGTGGAACGGCCATTGGTAGTGCAACCGCCCCAATCAGCATCTGTATAAACACTCAGTGACAGTGGTTGCCCAGTGCGGAGAAACAGCCCATGACAAACTGTTCCTTTTAGATAACGTAGCAATCGTTTGGCCGCCTGCCAGTGCAGCTCTGTCGGTGAATGCATGAACTGCGAGAGACGGTTAACTGCATAGGATACATCTGGCCTAGTGATGACCAAGTACTGCATTGCACCAAGGAGACGCCGAAATTGAGTGACATCCACCGCAACACTACTAGACTGCGCAGGTAGCAACTTGCTCGTAGTAGCCAATGGTGTTGAAACAGACTTTGCACCATCCATCTTAAACCGAACCAGAATATCTGTGATATATTGACTCTGAGACAGGAACATGTCATTAAGAGTCGAAACTACTTCAATACCCAAGAAATGATGCAAGGGACCCAAGTCCTTAAGAGCAAACTGAGCTGACAGAGTTCCAACAAACTTGTCAAGCCACGCAACATTATTTCCTGTTAGGATAATATCATCGACATACACCAGGAAATAAACAATAATATCATTAGCAGAATAAACAAACAAAGACGCATCTGCCTGTGACTTCAAAAACCCACAACGCAACAAGAACTGGGAAAGTTCTAAGTACCAAGCCCTGGGAGCCTGTTTAAGACCATATAAGTCTTTGGTCAGTTTGCATACATGAGATGGAAATGACGGATCAACAAACCCGGGAGGCTGCTCCATAAACACCTCCTCGTGCAATGTTCCATTAAGGAACGCATTATTTATATCTAGCTGGCGCAGACCCCAGCGATTACTCAAAACAATGGTTAGAACAATACGGATCGTGACCGGTTTCATAACCGAACTATATGTCTCAAAATAATCCCGTCCAGCAGTCTGCAAGAACCCCTTAGCGACAAGCCACGCTTTAAAACGATCAACCGACCCATCCGACTTGCGTTTAACACGGAAGACCCATTTGCAGCCAATCGGAACAGCTGCGCCACGGGGAACCAGTTGCCACGTGTTGTTACATTGCAGCGCTTCGAACTCCTCATCCATTGCTTTCCTCCACCGAGCGTCTTTAAGAGCCTGAGCGACGGTAGAAGGTTCTAAAGTAAGAGGCAAGGGATGGGAAGTGGCTTGATTAATGACATAATCGGAATATCGGGGATTAGGACGACGCTCCCGGGTGGAACGGCGAACATTATGCAACGGTTGAGACGTGTCGGAGGTGGAGATAGGTTGTGAATCAGACACGGATTGGGCTGCATGGTGACCATTTTCTGAGATAGTGGGAGACGACGAATTGGACGCATCTGACGGTGATGGTGTTGGAACTGGAGTTGGAACTAGACTCTGAACTGGAGTTGAAGCTGGTGTTGGAACTGGTGTTGGAACTGGAGTTGGAACCGGTGTTGGGACTGGTGTTGGAACTAGTGTTGGAACACCCACGGGCTCAACCTGTGTAGACAAAGGAGACGACTTGCACAAAATATTGCGTGATTCTGAATCATGAGAATCAGAAGGTAAGCTGTTAGAAGACTTTTGCAAATCGTTATAAGGAAACACATGGGGCACAAATCTCACATGCCTAGATACATATATACGATTCGAACCAAAATCTAAACACTTATAACCGGATTGGCTGTTCGAGTAGCCAAGGAAAATACATGGATGTGACTTTGGTTGTAGTTTCTTAGTGTTATAGGGACTCAACCAGGGAAAACATAGGCGACCAAAGGGTTGTAACTTGGCATAATTAGGCAATTGTTGAAACAAGACAGAAAATGGGGATTGGTTACCTAAAGTCGGAGTAGGGAGTCGATTAATAAGATATACGGCTGTCTGAAAGGCGTAGGTCCAGTATGAGGACGGCAAAGACGCGGAGTGAAGAAGAGACATGCCAGTTTCCACGACATGTATGTGCCGTCGCTCGGCGACACCATTGAGCTCAGGAGTGTGTGGCGGGGTGGTGAAATGAGAGATACCGTGAGTATTAAAAAACGGCCCAAGTCTCATGAACTTGCCCCCATTATCTGAGTAAACAGAAACAATTGACAGGCTAAAATATTTTTCCATTAGCTGTTTGAACTGAATGAATATTGGAAACACATCCGATTTACGTTTCATGGGATACAGCCAAATGTACTTTGAGAAGTGGTCTACAAA